TATAGGACATGGTTTTGCGCGGTATAGCGTGCCGTTCAGACTGGAGTCTACCGCATTTTGAGAAAATGCTGTACGACCAAGCCCAGTTGCTAGGTGTTTACGCTGATGCCTTCGATTCTACACACGACCCGGAGCTTCTGGGAGCTATGTATGACGTTGCGGCTTATATCACGAGTCCTCCAGTACTCTCGCCAACAGGTGGTTTCCATTCATCGGAAGATGCGGACAGCCTGCCTACCCCGAGCGACACTGACAAGAGAGAAGGCGCCTTTTACGTATGGACACATAAGGAATTCAAACAGATTCTCGGCCAACGGGATGCGGACGTATGTGCCCGTCACTGGGGTGTTCTGCCAGATGGAAACGTTGAGCGAGTAAATGATCCACATGATGAGTTCATCAATCAAAATGTCCTCAACATACAGACTACACCTGGAAAACTCGCAAAGGAGTTCGGATTAAGTGAGGAGGAAGTTGTCAGAATCATCAAGGCATCCACAGAGAAGTTACGGGAATATCGGGAAAGCAAACGGGTACGTCCCGCGCTGGATGATAAGATTATCGTAGCATGGAATGGGCTCGCCATTGGCGCGCTGGCCAAATGCAGTGTTGTCCTCGATAATGTGGATAGAATCAAGGCACAGGAGTTCAGGCTGGCTGCAGAAAATGCAGCGAAGTTTATCAGGCAGAGCCTCTTCGATCCTGCATCCGGTCAACTCTGGCGTATATACCGTGGTGATGAGAGGGGGGATACCCCCGGCTTCGCGGACGATTATGCATATCTCATCTCTGGACTTATTGATCTCTACGAAGCGACGTTCGATGACAGTTATTTACAATTCGCGGAGCAGTTGCAACGTAAGTCAGAATTACCACCCCCGAGAATCTTTTTCGTATCCAACTTTGCATCATCTAACTATCTCAGAATACCTGAACATATACTTCCTCGCCCCCGGTCCAGCCGCAACCACATCGCCAACAACGACCACATCCACATCCACATCCATCGACACCACAACACCCCACTCCTCTTCTGCAGGTTATTACACCACCCCTTCGACCCTCCACCAAACCCCCACACATCCAGCCCCTCTCTTCCGTCTCAAAGCCGGCACAGATGCCTCGACGCCATCACCCAACGGCGTCATCGCTCGAAATCTCCTCCGCCTCTCCACCCTCCTCGAAGACGACACTTACAGGCGCCTGGCACGAGACACCGTCAGCGCCTTCGCTGTGGAGATCATGCAGCACCCATTCCTCTTCGTCGGGTTGCTGGATGCCGTTGTCGGGCTGGAAGTGGGGGTTAAAGGGGTTGTGGGAGTTATTGGGCAGAATGACGATGTGGGACTTGGCTCATCGGCTATCGATGGAGGGGTGGGTGAGGCTGAGAGGGAAGCGGCGCGTGAAGGTGATGCTGGTGTGGAAAATGTGGAGGAAGGGTTAAGGATGGCGACAGGGGCATCTCCTCTTGCAGCACGCGAAGCGGTCATTCGAAGAGCACGCGCGGAGGCGGGGTCCGCAGTGTCCACTTCCACGGCGGTGGTTTCTATCATCGATGTACGCACCACCGGCGATGCCACTGTGTCC